CCCGGCCGCGCCCCCCTCCTCTGGCTTCTCCCCAGTCGCGCCTGTTCCGGATCCCTCCAGACCGCCCCGCTTCCCCGTCTGCTCCCACACCGCTTCCTGTTGGTTTCCTGAGCCCCACGGCTCTCCCGGCTCACGAACTCTTCGCTGCAAAGCGCTTCCAGGAGCTCCCTCCCCCCGCTCCGCCGTCCCCTCCCTGGCCTGGTTAGCCTTCCTCCTCCCGCTCGCCCCTCCCTTCCCGGTCACCTGGGCTTGAAAGCTGGCTGTCCCTTCCCCTGCTTCTGAGCTCCCGGACGACTCCAAGACCTCGTTCAGGTGCAGGGCGCCCTCCCTTTCTCCCCTGGACGTGGCGAGTGCGGGCCCTGCCTGCCCAAGTTCCCACCGAGGTAAAGACCCAGTGCAGCCGTGGGTGGGCTCCTAGCCGCGAAACAGCCTTGTGCTGGGTGCAAGTGAGTTTCCAGCATGGACCTCTCAGGAGCCAAACTGACCTTGAGTTAAGGAGGCCAGCCGGTGGTGGGGCCTGGGCTGCCGCGCGCGCGCGCGTGTGTGTGTGTGTGTGTGTGTGTGTGTGTGTGTGTGTGTGTGTTTTCACATTCCATCAGTTTGTGTTTTTGCCTTTTTGCCATTTTCTGTTGGAGCTGAGAGCTGGTCCGTGGCAGCCCACTAGGGCTCCCTTCATTCAGCAAGCTAAACACGGAGTTTAGGTAGAGTGGGGGCATGCCCTCTGTTTAAAGCAACTTTGCCAAGAAGCTGTGTATAAAGTTAACAATTCTTTTGTCTCCTAGTATAAATCCTCCCCCTAATTGATGAGTATATCAGATTTTCTCAGGAGAAACCACCTTGGGTCTCACCCCTTTCCTCCCCTCCCCACCCAATCAGAGCTCAGGATGTATGAGGACAGACTCAGCCTTTCCAAACTTGCGAGAAAAGTGGAAAACTTCTGTCCCCTTCTCCTTTTCACCTTACCCCTAGCCCTGCTATTGCCCCATGTCCAGGGTCTAGGGCATCCCAAGTAGGGAGAGGTTTCAAAATGATCTTTCCTTCCCATCCTCCCTGTCCCCAACCACAACAACTGTCATTTTAGAAAGTGATCTGATAAATTAATTCATACCTCTAAGGAACGTTCCGTTTACAGGACATGAGGGATAGACGGGCCAGACAATTCCTTAGTTCCAAGGAGTGAATTTCGAATACTTCCAGTGCAGGAAGTCCAGATATCATGGACTGGAGGAGATAATGACAGTGGAGGGAGATCTTTTTAGGCAGGCGATCTTGGGACCCTCAGTGCAGGATGTGTAGACTGTGCCCCAGGAGTGTAGCTGGCTCTGTGTGACCATAGGGAGACAGGACTCCCTCCTTTCTGTTTCACACCCAGGTCTCGGGTCTAGGGTTTTTCTCCAGGCTGGACCACCAAGCAGTATGTGAGGCCAGCAAGTCGATTGACTCCTTATTAGAGAAGAATTGTGTTTCTTCTTGCCCTTTTCTGACCAAACAGACTAGGTATCGTTACAGCTCTTTTAAACAATAATATTATCTTTAAAGATAAATTGTTTAGTATAGTTCCTTTGTTTTGGAGTTATAGTAGCCAATCATAAAGTCAGGTAAAGATTATACCCCACATTATCAGCTGTCTCTAATGGCCTGTGCTGGCTAACCTGTCTTCTTTGTCTCCTGTTCTTACTAGAGTATTCTTTTTTTTACTAAAACCCGGCTAAAGTTTTGTTAATAAGCCAATTTTGAGACTAGATGAAACCCCCATCACAGAAGTTATGAGATAATTATAGTGCTGGTCGAAGGTCACTGGACTTTCCAAGACAAGGAGCCAAGGGAAAGAATGTCTTAAGGAGTTTGCTTGATATTTGGAATATATTTTTATATTGACTATGAGCTTTGCCCATTTGGGGCAGGCAGAGAGGTATAAAACACAGACCCCCAGCCCTCAGAGAGCACACAGTGTAGCAGAAGAGACAACTGCTTAGCCCAGCAATAAAAAGTATCACATGGAATGTGATAAGATGTGGTTGCTTCACAGGATATTTGGAAAGACTGTGGCAGATGCCACTCTGGGAAGGGTTGTGGCCCCTACAACTAACTCTGAAAGAAGCCAAGCTTGCCTGCAGCCAAGAGAGGAGTGTTTCAGGGTCTCCGATTGTGTCACCGCTTCCTCCTCCGTTTTCATGGCCTTCGAAACATTCTTCTACCTTTGTGTCCTCTCCTACACTTGAACAGATGAATCTTCTTAAAACACAGTTCAGAAGATGTCATTTGCCTGCTCCCTGCTGCCTGCAAAAAGCCATTAGAGCTTCTTGGCTTGGCATCTGAGGCCCTGCCAACTCACCAACCCATCCTTTCTCCAGACACACTTCACAGAGTTTCTTCTTCAGGGAAAGTCCTTCCTTCTCTTTCTGGAAACTGACTAGTTTTTTAAGTTTTAATTCAAAGGTGACCTCAGTAAAGTCTTCCCTGTTCCAGCATGTTAGAAGTGACCCCTCCTTGGCCAGGCTCAGTGACTCAGCCTGTAATCCCAGCAATTTGGGAGAACAAGGCAGAGTGGGTTGCCTGAACCCACGAGTTCGAGACCAGCCCAGGCAACCTGGCAAGACTTGGTCTCTACAATAAAAAAAAAAAAAAATTGCCGGGCTCGGTGGCTCAGCCTG